ATCTCTTATAGATCCCGTGTCATCACGGTGGATGATATAAATCCTGCATTACCTTAAGGACCTGAAGCTATGGGAATTATGGTATATTCTTGATTATGGGTAATGCAGGATTTATATCATCAACCGTAATTAGCCCTCAGAAGAATCTTTGAGGCACCCGAAGCTGTGAAACCGAAAACCGTAAACCCAAAGCCGCAGACCATAAACCCCCAACACTACAAGCTGAACCCTAACCCCAAACGCTAAACCCTATTCAAAACCCTAAACCCTCTTCAAAGCCCTACACCCTAAACCCCAGACCCCTGAACCCCTAAACCCCTGACCCCTAAACCCTTACACCCTAAACCCTCAACCCTAAAGCCCAAACCCCAAATCCCAAACCCGAGCGTGCCTTTGTCATCGGTCAAGTCGACCTCGATGCCCAACTGCCGGGTCCTCCATACTGCAAAGGAAAGATTAGGGCTGAAGGTTCAGGGGTTGGGTTTACAGTAAACCCCACAAAGTTGGAAACCCGATTAAGGCCAAATAGTACTGGGATACCCCATACATTACTCTTACGGATTGAGGCTATTGGGTTTCCAACTTTTTGGCTTCTACTGTATGGTTGAGGGGTTTAGTATTTAGGGTTTCGGCTGTCAGGTCCTGCACACTGCGAAGATCAGGGCTCAGGGTTGAAGGGTGGGGTTTTTACCAGGACCCCAAGTGCCCCTTAATAGAGCCCTTATGGCTCTTAATAGTAGGGACTTAGGGCATAGCTGCCGAGTCCTCCACAGCCCAAAGAAGGGATTGTTAACAAATATAGATATATATATATATATATATAGATAGATAGATAGATAGATAGAGATACATATGCATCTATATGTATACACATATACATATATATATATATATATATATATATATATATATAGGGGCCTTAGTAATTAGAATAGGGTTTCTTCAAAGGGTTCCGTTAAGGGATACTATTATAATGGTACTATAGGTTTACTATAGGGTAGGGATTTGGGGTAAAGGTGAATAACTAGCATAGGGTTTGGGGGCTCATTATTCTATAGTGAATCCCCCAATATAGAATAAGTACAGATGAGCTGAAGGGCGGGCTATAAAGGCTTTAGGGCATACTCTGAGAAAGATTTAGGTGCCCCTTACAACCCTGAACCTTTGAGGTTTGTTCATGGATCTTCAGGGTTCCACATTCGGGCCCAGTTGGGGTTTAACTATTCAGGTTCAGGGGGGTTAGGGTTTAGGGTTTAGGAAGCTGACCCTGAACCCTCCTGGAAGCTGACCCTGAACCCAAAACCTTCAGAGATCAACCTACATGCCCAACACTCACTCCACCAAGCCCTAGCCGCGTCGGTCTTGAGCTGACTCAGCGCCAGTGTAACAGCCTCGGCCCGGGTGCAGCGTTTACCGCAAGGGGCCCTAGTCCTTAGAACAGGGTTTTGGGGGGGTTAGGCTTAGGGGGACCTTTGGGGATATAGACCCTCTCAATAAGGCCCCTTTTACGAGAGCCAGAAGTAGGGTTCAGAAGGGGTACCCTTTAAGGAGGGAACCTCTGAAAGAATCGTATTACTAATGGCTAGTATCATGTTACCAATACTTCCGACCCCTACATGGTTAAAGGTTCAGGGTTTAAGGTTGGGGGCTTATGCCTCGTTCATCAAGAAGTTGCTGCGGATCCTGCGACACAAGAAGGGTCTATGCAAAGGGGGTCATCAGCGCTTGACTGCGACGGCATCCTTCTCGGAAGCCTCAACTTCCTCTGTACATCCCGGTGATGATGTAAATCCTGCATTACCCAAAAATAAGAAATATCCTGTAATTCCCAGAGTTTAGGGTCCTATAAGGTAATGCAGGATTTATAGCATCAGCCGTAGCTGTCTGAACATGCTCCCAGCTCCAGCTGGAAAACTGCCCAAGTACCCCAACGCGAAGGTCGCTCAATCCTCCAAACACAAGGAGACTTCAACCGATCTAGACCCGAAGCGAAACACCAAAACATTGCAGCAACACCCTAAAGACCTAAATCATGAAACGTGCAGAACGCCCTGCAAAACCCTTATACGGAGACAGGTGGCACAGCCCCAAACAACAGTATTAAACGCCTAAAGGCAGTTGATGAAAGCCTATGAATACGCAATCTGTTCTGTCAAGCCACGAAGTCGCCAACATCTGGTGCTCGAGGCATTTGTGCCGGCGACTCTGACGCCGGTGCCTCGTGACTTCAGCAATGCTTTTACAAAGCCAACACAAAGCACCTCATCGGAAAAAACGGTGGCAGCAGTTGCGTGGTTGCGAATTAAAGTGATGGTGATGATCACAAGATAACCGTTTGCGCGAGCACAGATACTGAAAATGATCCGGAACCGAGGTAAGAGAAAGTGTCACAATAAAGCTCTCAAAGGAGTGGATCTCCTGTGAATTGCTACCCTGGCGACATGCCAAGGCGGTAGAATGACGAGTAGCATTTCGGTACTGCCCCCCATACAGTAACAGTCTATGATCGGGCTACTCTCAAGGTCCTAATATGTCGATGTTGTGAATATTATCCAACTGTTACTGAGTCGGGGCAGTACCCAGGGTAATGTAGGAACCTGATTAAGAAACCCTCAGCCTAGAACCCCAAACAGTAGGACTCAGATAAGGAACCCTAATAAAGGCCCAAGGTTTCTTAATCAGGCTCCTACATCAGCATCAAGATTCAAGCAGAGCGAACTGCCCGCACCGCACCTCCTTCATCTTAGAGGTCGCAGTTCCTTCATCGATGACCTGGCTCTTCATGCAGGCTCCACTTGGAGGGTCGAGGGACTTAGTAACTGGTCATTTTATAGACTTATAAGTACCATAACCCCAATTAGGGTCCCTTTTAGGCTACTTATAAGTCTACTTACCACCTACCTACTAAGTCCCCCGACCCTCCAAGCATATTCGGCCCCATACTTCTAACCTTGGATTAGAGTAAGGCTTTACGAAGGAGCTCTTCGGAGCTACATCGGTTGCTATTCGTACAGCAGTAGAGTTATCATAATGTAGGCACCTGATTAAGAAACCTTGGGCCTTTATTAGGGTTCCTTTAAAGGGGTCTCTAAGGGTGACTATGAGGGATCTATAAGGGTAATATGATAATGTAGGAACCTGATTAAGAAACCTCGGACCTTTACTAGGGTTTCATATTTATGAATCCTGCTTTTTGGGGGTTATAGGCCCAGGGTTTCTGAATCAGGTTCCTACATTAGGAGGGAGTGGGGAAAGGGATCCCCATGATAACATCTGAAGGAACCTGTGTAGGGTTTAGGATTTACGGATTTAGGATTTACGGATTTAGGGTTTAGGGTTTAGGGTTTAGGGTTTAGGGTTTAGGATTTAGGGTTTAGCCCCGGAGAAAAAACGTAGTGGACTTTTACTTTTATCTCCATAGGTATTCAAGTATGGCACTGCAAAACCCAGAATGGCCACTGAACCCAAAACTCCTGAAACTTGCAACTTGAAACCTAAATCACTAAACCCTAAACCTTAACCGAACCTTTCGTGCCGACGCACTTTAAACTTCCTCGACCGTCGAAGCCCAGGCACGCTGGAGAGGGGAATCTCGGCGACAGTGTCGGGCTCCTCACGGAGATTTTTTCAGGGTGTACCTGGACCCCAAAGAACCTACCTTTCGATGGTTCCTTATTATGAATTCTTTCTATAAGTCCTCAAAACCGAGGTTGCTTGGGGTTACGGTAGGGTTTGGGGTTTAGGGTTTAGGGGTAAGGGTCTGGGGTTTGGGAGTTTGCAGTTGAGGGATGTGTCGAATTTAGGGGTTTAGAGCTTTGGGCTTTTGGATTTTTTGATGTTTAGGGTTTAGCGTTTAAAGCGAACAGGGCATTGGCGGCATTGGGTTTATCATAACCTCCTTAGAACCATAATAAGAATAACAGCTTTAATATTCTCTTGGGTTGTATATGAACATAAATAAAACAATTATTCCTAAGGAGACTATAGCTCTTCGGGGAGTTTAAGGTCTAGGCTGGGGCCCAGGCGGTCAGGGCTGTTGGGCTTACGGTGTCAGCAAGTTCAAACCTTGCAAATATCACCTCAAACGCCCTAATTAGCCCCCTAAACCCTAGGCCCTAACCCTTAAACGCCCAAACGAGCCTTCCCCAAACCCTCCGATGTGTAGGGGAGTTTCCGAAAATTAGGGGTACCTTTTTTGCGGGTGGTTGTAGTAAGGACCCTACTATTTAGTATACTATATTAGGCTCCCCTATGTTTGGAAACTCCCATATGAAAAAAAAGAGCCCTTTTTTCAGAAAGTCAGGGTCCTCTGCAGCGCAGCAGCAAAACATGATGGCAGGGGCTCAGCACAAAGGGCTTCCGCGTCTCAGGCTCGAGCCCCCGTCTGCGGTTATAGTAGAAGCCAGAAAACTGGGGACATCATTCTCTTCCTGCCCTTAAGGTAAGGTATAAGGGATCCCAGCACCAATCGTCCTATATCCAACTTATCGTCCTATATCCAACTTTGTGGGATTAACTACAAGGGGTTCTTCTACGGGCTTAAGGCTTAAGGTCAGGGTTCATGATTTAGGGTTTAAGGGTTTAGGGGTTTAAGGCCAGAGGGTTTAGGGTGCAGGACCTGCTTAGGATGTAGGGTTTAAGGGTTTACGGGTTGAGGGTGTGGGGTGCAGGCTTCAGGCACCGAAGGGACAGGATAATAATTCGACAATTGCCAGCGATCATCGCAAGCTTTGGGCAGCGACTGAATGCCACTGCACCAGACTTCGAGGCAGAAAGCCTATAGAGACCGGCCCAACCCCCCCCCCCCCCTAAAATGCGACGCAAAATTCCAAACGCCCGACCCTCTTCGCATTTATAAAGAGCATGGGCACGGATTCACCCTCCTCCTGGCTAGGCTTCTCGTACTCCTTACTGACGTCGATACTTACCCTCTTCTCTGCGATTACCAGAACCACTATTCAGAATTCACCCAGGTCGCCAAGCTCAAGGGAAATCCAAGCCTTCGACATGCGGGAGGTGGTGATCTTCGCGCGCCAACTTGAAAACCGCCCTCACTGTGGGCTGTTGGCTGCAGGTTGTGGCTTCTAGGATGTATAGGGTGAGAGCACTCATAGGGTGAGACCAACCAAACCCTAAACATCTTCCGAGGTTTCAGAACAAGGGTTCTTAAATGCACCACCCTAGCTACACTTAGAGTATAGGATTTCGGATTTGGGGTTCAGTGGGGCATCATGATGGTGCACAGGTTCAGCATGTTCTGTCAATAGCAGCCACCTCACCACGGAGAATCTCCAATTCTCCGAGCTACCGCAACACCTTGGACATCGGCCCTAGTTCCAAAGACTCCAACCACCTAGACCCTCCATCGACCGTCGATTTTTACCCTAAGTGCCCATTGTTTGGGACCATGTATCCCCAATTGAGGGTACAAGGAGGCTCCTGGCAAGGACGTAAATCGCGAACCCGAGCCTCTAGAGACTGCAAACCCTCAACTCGCTACGCACACCCTTGCGCCTCACGCCTGCACTCGAAACCCCTAGACGAAAAATCCGAAACCCCAAAGCCTAACTTGAAAGTTCGAAACCCTACTATATAAATAAATCAATATATATATATATATATATATATACATATATATATATATATATATATATATATATATTTATTTATATACATGCATAGAGGGGCACGAATAATTAGAACAGGGTTTTGGGCTCCTTAAAACTATAATCACGTGGGAATAATATTGGTAATTATTAAGGCCCGTATATCATACTACCCTTCTGTAACACTAGACCGTTTTTAAAGGAACCCGTAAAGGAACCCCAGTATAGGTAATTACTAAAGCCATTATATTGCTACACTCGAAAGCATATCATGCACGTTTCCACCCAGCCCGCAGCTCCCAGGTTTGCTGCGCATCAAAGCTTAAACCGGAAGTGCAAACCTTAAGGTTTAGGGTTTGCAGGGTTTAGAGTTTAGGGTTTAGGGTATAGGATTCAGGGTAAAGGATGTAGGGTCTAGGAGTTTATGGTTCAGGGCTTGGCCTTACGAAACCCATGAATTGGAGTCAACTTTAACCCGCCGCCCGGCAGCCCGCCCCCCAGGGACTACTCCTTAGAACATGCCCGGGGATCCACAGACCTCTTGGTAGAGAGGTGAGTTCTTAGATGGGGTTCTGGGCAATGTTCTGGTTGGCATAACAAACGATGCGGGGGGGAAACTTGACTCTGAATGGAGGATAAAGACAATGAGCGAAAAGAGAAGCGTGTTTTTTTGTTCTCTTGATACAACACACAAACGCACGACAACTAATCTCAACAGATAAAAGTGGAGAAAGAAAGAACGAAGTGACAAAAGACAAAACAAAAATGAAAGAAGAGAAGCGTAGTTTTAGCCTTTTGTTCCCTTCTCCTTTCTTGCTTCTCATGTTAACTGTCGACTTGGTGTGTTTTTTCGCTCGGCTTTGTTTAGTTCGCTGTGATCGTGCTTATACATTACAACTTAAGCGGATTAACACACCTACGCCGTCTATCTTTTAGTTACAGCCGTCAACCAAGCACAAACCAAAGAGCCGAATAATAAGAAGGCAAAGCGAAGGAAACAGCCCGAGGACATAAGATCGCCTCATGGAATTCAAAAATGGAAGTTTAAGTGAATAGAGGTCCTGAAGATTTAGGTGCTTCCGGGTTGGGAGTTTAGAGCCTGAGCCCTCAATGCTAATCTCCCAAAGCCCCAAAATTATATTTTGCCCCTTCTTTTCTGAAGGATTTCCGAGGCCTCGTGCCGAGAACCTCCCAGGCTCGGGACGCTTCACGCTCCTCGCAGTTCGAAAAAAAGGGCTTGTAGGAATCTATAGGGCGTTGCTTTGGGGGTTCAGGGTTTACGAGGTGGTTATTGTTGTTGAAACTCTTTCTGAAGATAGGGAATTTGCTTTGCACTCTTTGTGTGTCATCAAGGCCATGACGGACTCTCGGGTCTAAAGAAAAGGTGCGTTGACAGGCTTGTAGGGTTTGGCTGATGTGCTTAAGTCTTGCTAATGGTGTCGGGTGTGATGGGGCTCTAAACCAAGGCCTTATGACGCTTAAAGGAATCAGAATGTGTTAAAGGAGTCACAACTTGTCAAGTGGGTTTTAAGGACTTGGTCTGAGTTCTATAAAAGGTTTTAGTGTTCCTGTGGTTTGTCAAAGAGTTGGGCCGGGCACCTTAATCAAAGTACAGGCGCCAATCCTTCTGCTTCGGGCCGAAGTATCCGAGCCCTGAAAAAGCTCACCGACTTACGCATGGTAGGGCTGTATGAGCCCCAACCGGCTAAAGGCTACGTACTCGGCCAGCAAGCCAACACTTTTCGGTGAGACTCTCAAAATGCTAGAACGTGTGTTTTGGAGTTTACGGCTTTCGGGTTTCGGTGTTGAGGGCTTTTAGGGTTCGGTGCTGATTTGATAAAATTTCCGGGGCCATTGGGGATCTTCCCCCATTTCGGTCCGAAGGCTTTGGGGTTGCAGAACACACACACACACACACATGCCCTAAACCCCAAACCTAACCCTTTTGGGTATTTGGGTTTGGCGTTGTCGAGTGTCCTCCGGAAATCCGTGCACCCGACACACTGGCAATGTTCAAGCGCGTTGCCGCACCTCAGCCGGTGGGCCTATAAAGCCTCGACCTGAAAGCAACCCCCAAGAATCCAATTTTGAACACAATTTGCTGGGCTTTCCTTGCATCACTAGGATGTGAAACTTCGTACTCAGGTAAAGCTGCAGGAAGTTCGGGAAAGGTAAACACTTTTTAGGTAGTGTGGGAGCCTCGATAATTGCAAAAAGGCTTTCGAATGCACTATTGTGCTACTGTACTCATAATGAGGAACCCTGTATGACGAATTGTTCAGGCTTTTGATTGTTTCTGACCCCAGAAGGAACGTAGCAGGCCTCAAGGTTAACATGTAACATGGGGGCCTTGATAACTAGAATACGGTCCGCGGGATGTTGTACGATGATGCTGTTATTTTGAAAGCATTTACAAAGTATCCCGGCCACCACTACATTCATTTCTAAAGCCTGTAGGGCTTTGGAGTTCTATAGGTGGGAGATCTTGCAGGTTCTTACCCATTTACACATTTCAGGGCTTAGGGGGTCTCGAGGGCAGGGTTTTTGTGGTTACGAGTGGGGGTCTCAAGGAGAGCGAGTACGGTTCTATTGCTGGTCTAGGGGGCCTCCCTGGCAGTCACCTTGGGAATTCCCCTTTAGTCCAGCAATAGACAGATGGAGCTTCAATACGGAAAGGTCTGAAGAGAAGGCTCCGGGGAATCAACAAAGAATCCGAGTTGAGACCAACTTCGTGGGCCAAGGCCTAGAATCAGGGCCCCGTGGATGGGGGTAACGGCCTGACGGGGGAAGGCAGCGGGTTCTGCGAACTTAGGTTTGTGCAAGAACCCTAACCCGATTTCGGGGGTTAGGTAGGGTTAGGTCTAGAGTTGGCTGACAGGTTGCATGTGTGGGTGCGATGCTACACGTTGGCGCACACTTTTTTGCGTAGAAAATAACTCTGCTGTTGGTAAAGCTCACGACTCAGACTTGGCTCCAAGAAACCCAAAATGACATGACTGACCCTGGGTCAACAACGTGTTGCCACAGTGTTTATCACACGAGCATGTTGGGTCTTGGGCATGACGCTCTTACTTAAACAAGGCCTGGGCTGAGGCATGACACTGCTTGGTGGTCGGATGGAGCTTTGAGCAGTCTCAAGCTTGTGCATGTCCCGACACATAAGTGATAAATGAACGAAACTGAGCCCTCCGGAAGCAACACCAGCCGCACATGTCAGGCTCGTAAGACTCCTTCCCGAGCTCTGGACAGCATCCTGAAATTGCAAACCCTCTGAAGCACCCACAACCTAGGAGACTCCCAAAATCGAAGCCCTGGAATCTAGGGCTTAGGTTCACGGCTGGGATGCTCAGGGCTGGGGGGCTGGGGCTCAGGGGGTTCAGCGTGTGCGGGAGTTTGGGTTTGGAGCTTAGGGTTTAAGATTTAGGGACTGCGGCTTCGGGAGAACACCTTGCAAAAAGTGAGACAGGCAAGGCACCAACCAGTAGAGCTGCAACAGGGCGCATTGTTCAGGAAGGGCCTTAGCTTCTTTTGGCGCTGAGCTTTCCGGGTTCAGGACGTCGGGAGAAGAGCGCCTTGTGGAGTTGAGCTGAGGGTTTAGGGTGTGCAGGTTGAAAGCTTCCCGTGGTTGAGAGGTCGTTGAGGGCGAGGGTATAGAGTATACTTATGCTGAGGAGCTGCAGCAGAATTACTGGTTGTTCGGATGCCCACATCGGGGTTTTGCACTTTGTATGTGTGTGGGGTAAGGAAACTTGGAGGCGCAGGGGATTGCTTTAAGTCTAGAAGCTCTCGATTTACATGACCCTGACCCTATAGGTTTTAGGGTGTAGGCTTTCATGAAAGATGCAATATGATGCCGCCCCACATTGAGATGATACCCTACCCCAACACCCTCGTCGAACTGGTAGCGCAGCGCAACTGCTGGTTGATGACTGCTTGGCATCTCATGCTCCTGTGCAGCAATGGACGTGCTCTAGTGGCCTCGAAAAACTACCCTAAAACATAAAGTCATAAATATGCCTGATAAACGCCACTCCGACTGAAACCGGAGCAAGCTAGGCAGCTAGGCACGAGGGGCCCAGCGAAACTTCTTACGGTGCAGACTTTGCTAGACGGCCCTGAACTCGCAAACCTAGCACCCCATAAGCTAACAAGGAAAATCTGCAGGTACAGAAACAACAAGACTCTGCAACCCCCTATGAACCCTTCTTCTAATCTATACCCCCCCTTAGAACAATACTAAAAAAAATATGTCTAATATTTTCTGGGGTTTAATATGAACAAAAGTCAAAAATAAACCCTAAGGAGACTATAGCAAGTGTGAAGGCCGCGATTATCGACCCCAAGTCTCGAACTCCACCTCCGCACGATCGTCGCTTCCGACCTCGCTGGCGAACTCCGCGGGGGTGGGACAGCGCCCGGGCCTCAGAGCAAGCAGAGGCTAACCCCACACCTCATACCCTATACTCTCCCCCCTACACTTTTACCTCAGTTCTCAACCCGCCTCCCAAAATCAACCTTCCAAAACACCAATACACAAAGCACCTCCCAACACAAAAGCAATAATCCCAAAACAAAGCAACCCACCAACAAATACAACAGTCCGTAACACAATCCAAAACCCAAAGCACCTAAACAAACCCTACCCTCAACCATAAAATAACCCATATCCTAATATGAGGTGTGGGGTAAGACCCTGATAGAAAAATCCCCAAAAGATTATAACCCTGTCAAGCGTCCCTTGAATGACATGACATAGAATAATAATTACTGCAAAGAATAATTATTTTTGTATGTTCCCTTGATCTTGTTGCTTTTCCTTTCTCATAGTAAAACACAATATTTAATATGCTCTCTCTTGGTCGTCAAGTTTAATCTCATAATATTCTAATGCTTCCTTCTTTGGAAACTCAATATCTTTGTTGTTGAGTTTCTTAACATATACACTCCTTTTATTCTCATAAATATCACTATATTTATCCATTGGTTGTTTAACTGGTCTAGGCTTCTCTTCATTAAGTTTATTAACTGCTTCTTCAATGAGTTCTAACTTATCTGATATCTATTGAAAGCGCGTTGCCTTTGTTGCTTTAACATCATCTACATCACTCATCTTGCTATAAAACTTTAGTCTAAAATGCATTTGAATATATAGTTAAAGGTTATGTTCTAACATATGTTCTTTTGTATTTATTCATACTGTCTAAACATCTCCTACATAATTTGTTGTAGTCTATGCTTTTGTTCCTACTCTTGAAGTATTGATGATTTCTACATATCTTACAACTCGGACAATACCGTATGTCATCTAAATTACATTCGCAATGGCATTTATCATTAACATAAAACGGTACAATGATTTCATCTACATATCTTACCATATAAAAAGAATGATTTTTGAAATTTTATTACAAAATCATTCACAAACTAATTAAGCACCATCTTATGTGGTGCTATTGAATGTATCTCACTACTTTCCCCTTTCATGAGTTCACCCAAAAAAACCTGTAGTTCTGCAACCCCTACACCCTGAACCCTCAACTCCCAAACCTCAAAACTCCTATAGTCCTAAAACACCCAAAATGCTCTAACGGCCCCAAACCCTCAACCCCAGCAAGACCGTAACACCCTCAAACCACAAAAAAGAACAAGCTCCTCAAACCCTTAAACCCTAAACCTTATCATCAAAACCCTATAAGCCCCGAAGCCCTAGAATAGCCTATAGTCAACACCCTGAACCCCCGCAACCAATCATCTGCATTCTTTGGGTCCCCCAGCAGGCCGCCCTTGGCTGGGTACTGGGCCTGAAAAGTGTTCAACGGCTTGAAACATGTACACTTTTTTGTTGTTGAGCTACCCAAAGAGCCCAAAACCCCTTAATCACGAAATATATCTTGATTTCTAAGGGGCTTCATATTATGAGTTTAGCTATAATTATTCCTTAATTAAGGGGTATTTGGGCTCTCTGGGTTGCACCAGCTCGGAAATGGGTTTGGGGTTTGGGGTCTAGGGTGCAGGGTTGTGGGCTTAAGGTATAGGGCTTCGCGTATTCGGGCAGAGGGTTGGGCTGTAGTGCTGTACATTTAGAGGGCTTCGCTGAACGCCTGATCAGAGGTGCATGGGTTGGGGTTTGCCGCTTAGGGTTTAAGTAAACTGTTTAGGGTTTTGGAGTGCGCCCTGAACCTTCTAAGTCGAAACAGCCTAGGGATCAAAACAGCCCAAAAGCCTTGTATAGTGTGGTCTTTGGGCCCAAAAAGCCTTAACATAGAAGTCCTTAGATCCCTAAAGTTCTAGGGTTTAGGTAGGTTTATCCAGCTCTGAAAGCTTCCCTGAATCCCCTTCCTTCATGGGATCTCGGATCGATGGTTCAGGATCTAGACCTTACTGTATAGGGTTAGGGTTTAGGGTTTAGGGGTTTTGGGTTTAGGGTTTAGGGTTTAGGATTAAGCAGTATACCTTAAATTACAAACGGGCGTCATATTAGGATCTAAGCTATATTCCTTAATGAAGGGGTATTGGGCTCTCTGGGAAGTCGACATGCAACCCCTGAACCTTCTCCATTCTCCACAAGACCCTGCATCCTAAGACCGGGCGCGACCCCAAACATTCAAGGACCAAACCCTAAACCCTAAACCCTAAACCCTAAACGCCGCAGCAGACCGAGACCCCAAAAAGTCAGAGATCCTTAGAGCAAGGAGCGCTGAACCCTGAACCCTAAACCCTAAACCCTGAACCCTAAACCCTAAACCCTGAACCCTAAACCCTAAACTAAAGCTGGTGATGCCTGTCGCGACGTCTAGGAGCCTATGGCATCGCCAGCGCACGTGCGCTGAGCACCGGCATCCGTGTCAAGAACGGATGCTTACCGCCTGCAGCTTGAGCGCGAAGAGTTAGCTTCGTGCTCCGTACCCGCATTCGTTCACTTCGGAGGGTGCATTACGCTTCAAGCGTAGAAATAAATAATAGTATATTTTATTACCCTAAACCCTAGGGTCGGGATCCTAAATGGCTTCGGAGGGCCGTACCGACGGCCGGTTCGAGCGACCGCATTTCGGACGGTCCGTGTGCACTCCCTGTGCAGACTGGACCCCACTGCCCGTACGGACGGCCGGTTTGGCAGCCAACTGCCCGTACGGACGGCGCCGCGTGCACTCACCGCCAAGAGCAGCCACATGAAAAGAAAGGAGGGGACCTCGAGATTGGCGCCGTGCCTAGGTCAAAATGCACATTTTATGAAAAGAAAAGACAACTCCAAAATCAGTTGCAGTTTTCCAGATTTCCGAAACGCAGCCCCTGCCCGTACGGACGGCGGTCCCTTGTCTTTGCCTCCTTAATGAAGGAGACCACCCTTGCCCGTACGGACGGCCCCCACTGCCCGTACGGACGGCACTGAACCCAACTGTCCGTACGGACGGCCGGGTTCGGCAGCCAACTGCCTGTACGGACGGCTCCGCGTGCAAGAGGACCCCCTGCCCGTACGGACGGCCGGTTCGGGCGGCCCCCACTGCCCGTACAGACGGCGCTCCCTTATCTTTGCTTTCTTAATGAAGGAGACCACCACTGCCCGTACGGACGGCCGGTTCGGGCGGCCCCCACTGCCCGTACGGACGGCGGTCCCTTAGCTTTGCTTATTGACGGAGACCACCACTGCCCGTACGGACGGCCGGTTCGGGCGGCCCCCACTGCCCGTACGGACGGCGGTCCCTTATCTTTGCCTTCTTAATGAAGGAGACCACCACTGCCCGTACGGACGGCCGGTTCGGGCGGCCCCCGCTGCCCGTACGGACGGCGCCGTGCGGACGGCGCTCCCCTATCTTTGCCTTTACTATGAACGAAATACTTTACGTCCAATTGGACCCATACCTTATCTTTGCCTTCTTAATGAAGGAGGACCCCACTGCCTGTACGGACGGCCGGTTCGGGCGGCCCCCAGTGCCCGTACGGACGGCGCTCCCCTATCTTTGCCTTCTTAATGAAGGAGGACCCCACTGTCCGTACGGACGGCTGGTTCGGGCGGCCCCCTGCCCGTACGGACGGCGGTCCCTTATCTCTGCCTCCTTAATGAAGGAGACCACCCTTGCCCGTATGGACGGCCGGTTCGGGCGGCCCCCACTGCCCGCACGGACGGCGCCGTGCGGACGGCGCTCCCCTATCTTTGCCTTCTTAATGAAGGAGACACCTTACGTCCAATTGGGGCCCATACCTTATCTTTGCCTTCTTAATGAAGGAGGACCCCGCTCCCTTATCTTTGCCTTCTTAATGAAGGAGACTGCCCGTACGGACGGCCCCCACTGCCCGTACGGACGGCTCCGTGTGGATGGCGCTGTGCGGACGGCGCTCCCCTATCTTTGCTTTCTTAATGAAAGAGACACTTGGTCCAATTTGGGCCCATACCTTATCTTTGCCTTCTTAATGAAGGAGGACCCCACTGTCCGTATGGACGGCCGGTTCGGGCGGCCCCCACTGCCCGTACGGACGGTGGTCCCCTATCTTTGCCTTCTTAATGAAGGAGGGGCCCCCTGCCCGTACGGACGGCGGTCCCTTATCTTTGCTTCTTGATGAAGGAGACCACCCTTGCCCGTATGGACGGCCGGTTCGGGCGGCCTCCACTGCCCGTACGGACGGCGCTCCCCTATCTTTGCCTTTTTAATGAAGGAGGACCCCACTGTCCGTACGGACGGCTGGTTCGGGCGGCCCCCTAAAAAATAAGGAAAAGGTTGGTTGTAGGGTTCTGCCCCCCGACCCTACATAGGCCCCTATGTCGTTTTATCAACATAGCTCACTTTAATAATATTTCGTTTTGTTGTCATCTTAATCAATTTTTTGTATTAATTTTGGCAAATTTTTTAACATATTTTATACAGAATTACCTTATGCATTTTCACATTAACGCTCCTCAAACGTTTTTACACAAATTTTCACAAATTTTTAACAATTTCTCAAAAAATCCCAGCCCCAGTCATCTCATTCATTTTAACAAAATTTAAAATCAGTTTTAGGCACCGCTAACGTTATAATTTTCTAGGTCTTTTTTCCTTGTAGTAGTTTTTTCATGTTTTTTGTTTCGGCATCTGTTTCATTCCTTTAAATTTAATCTCCTACTTCGTTTTTGTAATTACTCCTCTGTTTCATTCTCATTTTTCAAAAATTTTTTAAAATATTTATCAAAAAATATCGTCACCTTATTCAGGTTTTTTCGCCTCTCATTTGTATTCAGCTTCTGTCATGGTTTATGTATAATATTCTATATAATATTATGTCTACATTTATAATAATATTTTATATCAATATTATTATGAATGCATAATTGTATACAAGTTTGCTAGACCCTTAGGTTCTGTTTCTTTAAGATGTTTTTGATGCTTTTTAGTTTGTATATGTCTTGACAAACAATATTTAGTAACTTGGCAGTTACAATTAGAACAATAAACCTTTTCCTTCTGCTTGCTCAAAATATTGTCTTTATTATTTTGATAGTATTTTTTGTTCCTTTCATTGATTTCTTCCTTGTTGCATTCTCTGTATTGTTTACTCTGTAGAACAATTTGTTCACGATTCTCTTGTTTATATTTTATTGTCCTTGCTATTTCTTTATCACGGTTATTATGGTAATATTCTTTTGCTTTCTGTCTCAATTGTTCCCTGTTCTTCTCTCTATATATGGCTTTCTCTTCTAAACATTCATTACATAACTTTCGCTCTGGTTTAAAATGTTCTTCTCCTTTTTCCTTTTTGCATTTAGAACAAATTTGATTAGATGGTTTAATGTCAGAATTTTCCATATAATATTATGGGGCTATTTCTTTAAATGTTTTTGCGTTTACTTATCTTAAACAGGCTACCGAACATATCACCGATATTTAAAAAACTTCTTAAAGTGTCACCGATATTCTCCCGAAATATCACCGATATTTAAAAAACTTCTTAAAGTGTCACCGATATTCTCCCGAAATATCACCGATATTCTCCCGAAATATCACCGATATTCTCCCAAAATATCACCGATATTCTCCCGAAATATCACCGATATTCTCCCGAAATATCACCGATATTCTCCCGAAATATCACCGATATTCTCCCAAAATATCACCGATATTCTCCCGAAATATCACCGATATTCTCCCGAAATATCACCGATATTTTAAGACCTTCCCGAAATATCCCCGATATTCTCCCGAAATATCACCGATATTTTAGAACCTTCTTGAAATATCACCGATAGGCTCCTGAACATATCATCGATAGAATCTTGAACATATCAGTTAAGTAGCTTTTACACTAATATAATATTCAACTTAATTTTAAGGCGATGCCCTCCAGCCCAGCCGGCACCCCCTAGGCTTAAAGGGTAGCCACCTTAAAGGGTATGGAGAGCCCTAGCCCAGAACAGAAAATATACTTAAAGACATTTTGCCATTATAATAATATAATGTTTTTATCAACATTAGAACAAGAAGAAATTATTAATAAATTCTTAAATGTTATTGAAATGAAAACAGTTATTAATCATAAAGTTGGTATATGTAAAAACTGTAAGTTTAATCAACAGAACTTGAGCTTATATAAATTAAATATACCTAGTAATATTGTTAAAGATATTTGTAAATATAATTATAAAGAATGTGAAGTATGTAAAACTTTAAAAGAGTTTAAAGAAAATGTTTATGATTACAGTATGGAAGATTTTGAAAATGTGGTTAAAGCAGTTGAAGATAAACAACAATATAGTTTAAACAATTACACAGAACATAAAATAGATAATCAAATATATTATTATATTAAACTAAATCCATTTCCTACATTTGATGAGACATTACGTTATACCAAAAGTGTAATACCAGAATGCAAATTTTATAATATTGATTTCTATAATGAGGTTAAATTATTATATTATAATTCATTTAATGTTGATAAAAAAGTAAAAGAATTTTACAGCAAACAACGAAATAAATTTATAAATGATTATTATGAAAATGTAGATAAAAATAATGATACAAGGAGTAAATTTATTAATTATATAAAAAGTCAAATAGATAAAGTTGAAAGTGCAATTAAAGAGATTTTATCATACATAGACAATAATGAAAAATTTAGTAAACTAAAATTTAAATTGTATTCAAATGAAGCTTTTAAATTTATTAATATGCGAATAGGAGAAAATGATTTTGACGATGATTACACATTTGAACGTTTTATAGATGCTAAATATCCTTATATACCTAAAGAGCAATATATGAAAAAATACGAAAAACAAAAACAATTACGAAAGGAAATGGAAAAAGATTTTATGAATAGAGTAGATGACTTTTTAACATAAGACAATAACTATCATATTATATTATAATATGAATGTTAACCGCCAGCCCAGCCGGCACCCCCCTAGGCTTAAAGGGTAGCCACCTTAAAGGGTATGGAGAGCCCCAGCCCCACCACGGGTATAAAAAACTACTTAAAAGAAAATCTATATTATAATAATATGGATATTAATAGACAAAAATCTGTAATGAAATATGTTTTAAATAGTGATGTAGGTAAAATTAAAACAAATAAAGACGGTAAACAATTAAAAAAAGTTATTATAGATGATAAAGAATACCCATATAATCCATCAAAACCTTTTTCAGGAACACTTATAAATAAACTAGAACAAGTAGAAAAAACACAAGGTTACAAACGTTTTAATATACTTGATAAAGCATCTAAGGGGATAGCAGTAAGAAAAGCTTTAAAACGATATTCTATATCAACATTCGGCACAAGAACTAACGTATTTACAGCTTTAAAAGCTTATGCTAACACATATGCTATAACAAACATTCAAAAATTAGGATATGCAGGATTAA